CCCTGACAAAACGCAAGAAAGTGAGATGAATCCACATGAAGACACTACAGAACTCATTCCCTATCGATTTTCTTTAAATAGTAGTCAGATGAGGAGAAAAATGAATGAGTCTGTTTGGTCTGTGGAGTCTCTAGTCCCCTTTATCCCCCCTAAGGAGTGGCTGCTGCACAATGGCATGTTTGAGCCTGAAGTAACTGTTGAGGAAGATGAGCACTGTAGACACTCAAACCATAATGACAGAATGGTGGTCAAAGCTAGGAAAGAAAGGAGGCAGGCCATTGGGCTTTCATCTTCTGGCTCTGTTCCAGTGTCAGACAGCTGGCTCATTTTCAGTACCCCAGCTGAGAAGCAAAGCACACCACAGAAACCAGCCATGGAGAGTGAAATGGATTCCTTTGAAATGAGGGTACCACAGCAAGGCCACACCATAACGCTTTCAGGGAACAATCCCTTAGAGTCCCCAACTTATCAACAGAGTAAAATAAGTGTATCTACACCCCCTGAAGAGGATGTGGATGAAAATGGGTCTTCTGAACCAGAGGCTAATCTAAGCCCAAACCAGGATTTGCTTATTGTAAGTGAGCAGAGGGAGGAAAGCCCTGGCTCTCCTGAGCAGGAAGATACTCTCCTCTTGAACTCTGCAGATGGGGAGAAAATTTCACCTACAGGCCAGGTGATTGTCCAAAATGATGTGGACACCGGGACTGAAGATGGCACATGTGGGACTGAAGATGGAGCATGTGGGAGCAAAGAAGTCAGTCAACTGCCAATTGAGCAATTGTGCGTGCCAGTAGCTGACCCGAAGATAACTGAAGTGTCTCCTTCAAAGAGACATCTGGTGGACTGTGGCATCCAGTGTAATAAATTACAAGAGTGTACCTGTGGAGAATTGAAGGGCTGCATAGGACCAAACAGAAAGTATCATTTTAAAAATCCAGGTGATTTACATCTTCATTCAACAATGAGGGTTTGTTGTTGGGGTTTTTTTTTTCTTGTTGTTGCATACCGCTTTTACTTTTGTCTCATAGGTATGAAGAAAGCAAACCATGGCAATGCTGAAGGACTCATGATGAATGGGCATGTGCAGAAAAACCTGAAGAGGCATGGTCAGTGGAGAAACAAAGGTTCAGGTAATGCATGTAATGCGGACCGGTTGTAGGTAGTACAGCATCCCATCAGGTCACATCTCAATTCTGTGATTTGGAGGCTCATATTCTGAATGTTGTTCGTTTTGTGAAATGTAAGTCATTCTTACAAATTTGTAAATGATGTGAAAATGCAAACAAAAACAAACCAGAAAATGTATTAATTGAAAGAGCATTTTCAAATTGTATAGGCAAAGCAAGTTTATTTATATAGCACATTTTCATAAAAAGATCATTCAAAGTGCTTAACACAATACACATAGATGGCTAAAACAGCATTTAGTGTATACAGATAAAACATTAGAATGCAAGTTGGATAAAACACAACGGCACAAGTAGATGCCTAGTACTTGAAGTAGAGCTGTGGCTGATTGTGGATTCCCAGTTCTAATTATACTTTGTACCCCTTTACTTCTGTCTACACAAAACAAACCTGACTTCAGAGGAGGTTATACGTTCTTCTAGGAATAAGAAATACCAGTGTGTACAGAGTCGGCTAAACGGCACAATGAAGTCAGTTGGTCATTGGGTAATAGATGAAAATATAAAAGCAGGTAAAGTGCAATACTGCGTGGAATTAAGAAACATTAAAAGTAGTGGGAAAAAAAAGTCTTCAGCTTAGTTAGGCTCCCAGTGAGGCAGATCTAAGTTTTCATGGGAGCTGGTTCCAGCTGTGGTCAGCATTGTGGTTAAATGCAATTTCACCTTGTTTAGTTCAAACTCTGGGCACCACTAGCTGACCAGTACCTGCAGATCTGAGACACCTACCAGGCTTGCACTCAGCAAACATGTCTCAGTAAACTGTAGGACAGTGCAGTTGTAGTTTGACTAATCATTAGATGTGCACTTGAGACCTGTAAGAAGAGCACAGGAAAAAAACTACACCTCTAATGTGAAATAACTATTCAGTGTGCAGCATTTATTTATTTATTTATTTTTTTTTTTTTGGGAAACAGAATCCCCACTATAGAGAAGCACAGTAGCCAACAGGAAGCCTACAATGGATATGGTGGCAGACTTGGGAAATCTAAAGGTGAGAATTGCAGCTTCATCTCTGGTGGTGTGATGATGATCCTGTGGGGCAGAATGCTGATTTAACTGAGGCGTTCATACCATCCAAAGCCTAGAGTAAAATTTTAATAATGGTGGAAGACTTGAATGTTGGTGCAAAACAAACATCTACACAAATTGATGAAACTGTTTGCTAAAGGGTTAACACTTTATACCACCTATTTTTCTGCCTAATAAAACCAAATTTCACCACAAACGGTTTCTATTTAATATAATTTTCAAATAGCAACCCCTTTCACTCTAATTTGCAGCCTGGACTGATACTGATCCCAGTACTTTTCCACTAGAAAGCAGAAATTAAGCCTAGATGTGCCGCGAAGGCAAGTTCACTGTCAGTCACCTGACTGTTTATAGTAGTTGTGCATTACAGTCTGCAGTAAGTTTTAGCATTAATCTCTCACCAGATGGCGTCATCATCTTTCATACAGATGTACATTTAGGAAAATGCTACCAAATTTCATTACACTCTAAAACTGATTCTGCTTTTCACTCACTAACCTGCATCATGTATTAATGGCTTAACAGAAGTAAACGGGTTTTCTTTGCATTAAAAATGTTTGTTGCTTCTTCCAGGTGGAAATGGAAGAAATCCACGGTGCTGAACACTGACCACACTCTACAAGATGCTAGGTTTTAAAGAATCAATTAAAATCTATTTCAATAAATGTTTTGTGTATGTCACAAGTGGTGGTGTTTTTAAATACATATTTCCAGGTTTGGTTTTTGGCTGTTTTTACTCAGAACCTGCCAGTTAGAATTCCTGTAGGAATACTAATTCCCTCAGGACATGAACTGTAACTTGAGAGAGTTGAATTTTTAAAACGAGACAAGCTGGGACAATACCCGAACTCTGACTTTGCCCTATCCTGCAGCCTTTTTAGAAGTACAGGTACTAATATTGAGTAAAGGAAATAAATAATCTTACAGTCCTCTGGTATTACGTGTTTGAAATGTATTATGTAATTGAAGTTCAAATATGTATTTGACAATTAAGATGATACAAAGGAACAGATTTGTTATCTTGTGTTTTGCTGTATCTGGTGCACCTTGATTAAACCTGAATGCAAATGAACCCTGAATCAGAGTGATCATTTCTCAGCTGCTGTGACTGTACTCCTTGAAAATATCACAAAGGAGTTAAAGTATGTTATCTAATATACATGGTGCAGCAGCAGTTTAATTGGAAGACAAAGGAGGTAAAGAAGTTGAGACCCAAAAGAACCCAATTTGTAAGGTGAACTAACAAAATGGCTGACAATATCTAAAGCATCACAAAGAAACATTTCCTGTACAATGATCAAGAGTAGAACAGTAAAGGAGAGGCTGTAGTGCAAGTAACTGGCAAAAGTACAGACTGGCTGCAGTGTAGGCTAGATAGAGTAAAACCACAAGTTTAGATGCGTTCATTTCTTTGAAAATGAGACAAACTGGGGTGAGACCAAACAGTCCTGAGAGGTCATAAGTCCTTGCCAAGCCGGACAATCTCATCCAGGAGGAAGTCTATGTCTTCTTGCTGTGTCGCTGGATTGGAGAACACACACCTGAAGAAATTGACTTTGGCTCTGAAAGGCTGATAACCAATCAGAACAGAGCCCTTCTCCATCATTCTGCGTTTGACTTGAGGAGCCACCTGTAGGCACAAAAGAATATGAACCTTTTTCTTTATCCTGTCAGTCACTTTTTATTCATTTTAATGTGTATAAAGTTAGTCCAACTGAACCACTGTGATGTTCTGAACTGACCTGATGGAGTCTTTTATCTCTGTCAGGTCCAGGTGGCTGGCCTCTCAGACTGGGAGGGATGTACCAGAAACACACATTGCTGTGCTCCGGCTGTGTGAGAGGGGCAGGGGACAAATGTCCAGTAAGAAATGACTGCTGAGTTGGATAAATAAAAATAAATCTAAAAAGTAGAAGAAAAATAACTAAAATTCCAACTTAAAAAAAGAGCCAGATACTGCTGTATGCAACAAAAGTTACATTTGTAAAGTGAAAAGATGTAAATCCATCCTCTGCAGCAAACATGTTAAAATGAGCCTTTCAACTGTTAATGCAGTTTTTATTTCATCAACTTAAAAACAAATGTTTGAACACCCTCTTAGGTTAGTACAAGAAGTTTAAATGCATCATCTCAGGGAGAGTAGTTAGTGGTCTACAATACTTTAAATTACTTTGAAAAGTAAAAGCTTTATAGATGTATAGGATGCGTATAACTGTTTTAAGAGAATTTCATAGATGTGTAGTCAATAAAACATAAAACAAATCTTTTCTAATCTAGACATCAGATGGCTTTTAATTAACCATTTTCAAAAAAAAGTTGGGATGCTGTGTATATTGCAAATAAAAAACAGAATGAAATGTTTTGAAAACTCCTTGTCATGGGTGGTTCCTGATTTCCTTTTTAGAGGCTTTTATTTTTTAGACTTCCTGTCTGTCCCTATCTCACCTGCCTCAGCTTTACACTGCTCATTATTCACCCGTGGCTTGTTACCTCATGCCTATAAAGAAAGTCACTTCCCGTTTTAGGGGTAGCCGCAGCGACAACTTGCATGTTAACATTTGGCACGTGTTTTACGCCAGATACCCTTTCTGACACAACCCTGATGTGAACCTGGGCTGTAGCGGCGAAAGGGCTGCGCCTTAACCACTAGCCTACCAGGGACGGCTGCTTGTTAGCTCATGCCTATACAATCTGAAATTGTGCTGTTGTTTTCCCCTCACCTATTTGCTCAGTCACCTGCTCACTGGTTCTCTCCTGAGTGCTCTCATTTGTGTACAGAGCTGTTTTCCTGTAGAGGACTACATCATACTCACCCTCTTACCCATCTTCACCTGCAAGGGGGAACTCATATCATTCACCGGCTCATTTACCTGCCTGGTGTGCTATCACCTGCAAAGAAAATGCTAAACCCACCTGAATACTCACCAGCATGGTGCCTCATCCTCTTGCAAAGAATCCACAGCATACAAACCTGGTCACTTACATTCTATAAGAGGAAGCAACCTCTTATCTGTGGGTACAAGAAGCACCTTGCTGAAATATTTTCTCATCTCTGCATCTCCATACTCAACTGTCATTTATATCTTAGGATGATCAGAAATGTTACCACTGTGGGGTGCAAGTCCTCTATTCTACTGCCTGTGACTTCTCTTCCATTGCTGCCTCCTGGTCCACCACTCTGGCCCCAGATTGGCATTGCCCCATAATCAATCCCCACAATAAACCTTTTAACTCACTACTGTTCTCCAGTCTTTATACAAACATGGCACCCCATGATCAAATGCTGAACTGGCCTGCCTATAGACCAATAAAATCAGCTTTCAAAGTCATGAAAAAATAAGGAGTATTCTGTGCTCTGAAATGCTGGGGTTGTGTTGGGTGAAGACTCTGAGACCATATCCAATTGCAGTAATTTAACAAAACACCTACTAAGCAAGCATAAACTTGCAGAAAAATCACAATTTCAGTGTTGCCTGCAGTCTGCAAGCTTATTAAGCTAACAGCTAATAGCCTAGCTTAGCTGTGATGCTCTGTCCAGTGCAGCAGCTGCATGGTTCGTGTGTGGCTGTTATCTTAACTCCCTCACTTCTCTCTCCCTCAACCAACTATGGTCGGTTCACACCTGGTCCACCACATTCACTGTTTATGTACTGCTACTTGTGTCATTGTTTAATACTGAGGCAGCAGCATTCATGTTATTTATTTAAAAAAATAGAAATGTGGCTGTAAATTTGCATCTGTGCTCAGTCTTATGAGTGCCCCTAAAAACAAATGTAAGCATAGAGCTCTGTGCACTGTCATTTTTCTAACATTACAGTGTTGGGGGGAGATGTTATGTTAAGGATGGCTCCAGTGTCATCAAGCCATGCTTTCTGCCCTGCCCGAAAAATCCTGAACTCAGAAATGATGAATAACTGTTTAATGGTCTAACTCTACAATTCAGCACTACATAGTTCTCAGTCATTCCACATGTTTTCACCAACCATTTTTTAACATGTATGTGTTTAGAAACAAGTCATTGATTTTCCTTTACCCCAACTTTGAAAGAAGAGATGATATAACACAGGGTAAAAATGTAAACATTGCAAACATTCCAAATCACTGCATTCTGTTGTGACTTACATTTTACATAGAATCCCAACATTTTAGGAACTGGCGTTGTAGATGTCTAGATGTATTATATCCATTTAATACTCCAACCACTGTAAAGTTCAATCACCCCGCCATGCTATCACTATGCACCTTTGACATCCTTTCAAGGTCTATGACACAACGGGGACACTGTGTCACCATCAGTAATTTTAATATAAAACAATAATTTGAAATATTTCAAAAAAAAAAAAAGTGTGAAAACCAGCTTTACTTTATTTTGAAAGACCAGTTCAAAGTCTGTCCTCCTCTGCAGCTGATCATACAGATATTCAGCATTGTCTAAGCATTTGTTGACCTGAGATCCAAAGCCCTCCGAGCCCTGAGAGAGACAAACATCACACAAAAGGAGTAGACAAATTACTGAAAAATGAAAACAGTGCTAAACCGAGCAGCACCTTTTCATGTAAAATTTAGGCACATTTAGTAGACACACATAGCACCAAAACAAAATTTTCAGTCTCAATCACTGTCCAGTAAATTTTAAAACTTGGATGTTTTTGACCAGTGGTCTCTATTCATTTAACTGTGTGTGGACTCTACAGGACTGTGGTGACATGCACAAGTTAAATGAAATAAGACGACCTGATTTATTTGGTCATCACTGGAACCAACCTGAAATTCACTCGATTGTTTGTTCCTTGTTCACAATGTGTTCAATCTACTTCAGCCTGTTCCAGATTGCTTGAAACTGAACCACGAGCAGGGTTATGAAAACAGTTATCAAAATCTAAACTAAGTTGGTTATATCCTGATGCACGTGTGCACCTGTTTTGGTAAGTGCACAGAATTATATTAACTGAGTTGTAAGCCACCAGCCACCAAAAATAAGATTTAGTGACAAAACCGCAGAGAGGAAGTCTCTGAAATTAAGAGAAAGGTGACTCCGTCAAAGAGAGCTGTACTTAAAACAGAGCAGGTACCTGCGTCAAAATTAAAGGGAAGAGTGAAAATAGTTTAACCTAATCACACTGGAGTTTCACTGATAGTGTGTATGAATACCTTTGCCTTCCACATGAGCCAAAACTTAAAGGCATCAACATGTCGGCCACACTGGATGCTCTTATCTCCAGTATCATAGCTCATATTGTAGGGTTTGTCTGTCTGGAAGAGGTACTCAGCTCCAAACGCATTGCATTCCTGTAAGAGACCCTGCAGAGGAGAAAGGCATGGAACACTGCAGCAAGAGACAGCTGGCAATTAGACATAGAGGAGATGTAGGGGGAGGCGTATGGGGTGACAGACTGATGAATACAAGAACAATAATAAAATGCCGAGGTTCAGATCCCAACATCATAAAATAATAAATACCACAAAAAGATTAATGCCATCAACCCTAATCAGATTTCAAAAGCCAAAGAGCACATGTTTTCAAAAGTGAAACAAAAAAACAAAACAAAACAAATAAAAGCACTTTAAAATCTGTATGCTGCTGGACAGAGAGCCAGTGAAGTGAGGCAAGATTAGGACTTAAATGACTTCATTTTCAAGTGTTGGTCAAAAGATGAGCAGCAGCATTTTGGACCAGCTGAAGTCAAATGAGAGAGGACAGACAAACTCCAGTGTAAAGTACCTTGCAGTAGTCCAAACTGGAGCTGATACAGGCATGAATTATCTTAAAACCATTAAACAAAAGGAAAAGCTAGCTCTAACAGCAGAGCTGATCCACTTAAAATTGAGGGCATTATAAAAAATCACTCCAAACTTTTTCACATATGGTTTTATGAAGTTGGCCAAAGGGCAACAGCGTTACCCACTGTGCCACCGTGCTGCCTGAGTAATCTCTATTTATAATTTTGTTATTTACTGTAAAAATGTAGTTTGAATGAGATGTCTGTGTTTGCAGTACACTGCAGCCTGTGTAAATGCAGCATATATATAAAAAAAAGGAATGGGCCCAGAACTGAGCCTTGTGGGACCCCA